TGTAGCGCAAGTGAGAAGCGTAACGCATTTAGCAATGCGGAAGTCGAAAAGTCTTGAAGATATATCTCAATGCGCGTGAACTGTGATATGTTGTGCGCTGCTGCTGAATGGCAGCTCTAGCGCTACTATATCCTGCGATCGCATGTACGTATGTGCTATATGTCCGTACGTGCAGCGTAAATGTGTAAAACCAGTAAAGGGCCAAGTGAGTGAGTCATCTTCAAAGTCCGTCTTGTTCTGTCTTGAGGAAAGAAAGACTGTGGTAAAACCATCGTTATGTGATATGGTACGGGTAAGTTGTCATGTTTAAAGGGCTATTATTACCAAAATATGTTTTGTTTTTCAGACAATGTGGTTTTTGTGTGTCTTCTTTTCTGAATGTCTGCGTGAAAGTGTTTGTTACTTTTGCTGTCAAATTTGGGTGGGGGCTTTCTTCCACCAAATTGCCGGGGGCCGGACGGGCGAAGAAATGGGTGTTGAATGCCTACGCGTTCTGGCTGGAAATGATAATGAGCGTTCTCATGATTCCATCAAATCTATCATGGAACAACTATTTAAAACATATGTTGTGTCTAATTTGCATCAAGACAATTTGCATTTGTAATAAGTAAACTACGGTAAAATAATAAGTAAACTACGGTAACAATATCTAATAAGTTAAGACTGTTTATCTTAGTATCTGTGCAGCAGCTGTGTGTGTGTGTCGCGTCGTGTGTGAGAGACTTTGGTGGAAAGCGCTTTAATTATTTATTAATATGACTAAGCTGAGTAAGCACCGTTTTATTATTACTATAATAAATATTATTATTATATTACATGTATTATTAAGATTTGGTTAGAATTGCCTTTTTTTGCCAGTACCAGTGCCAGTGGAGATCTTATAGATCTAAACATGCAAAATCCATGTAGAGGTCTAGAGTCTACAAAATGTATTTGTACCTTTTAAATGCTTCCTTTTGCCTTTTTCATTTTTTATCGATTTTTGAGACTTCAGTCTACAAAATTGTTATGAACTTACACTATTTTAAAAGTTAGTCATACCTTAAGAAATTACGGTAATAAATCGAAACAACCTTTGCAAGAAATTGATTGATATGAAAATAGAAATGAAATACAGAAGATGGGGAAAGTTTGAAAGAAATTAAACAAATAATAAGAAACTTATAAATGTTTGAATAATAAGATACTTGGTAATTGATGGAGTTAAATACCTTTAGCAGCTCACTCTGGAAGCTATACTGTGATAGTTGGTGAGGCAAGTGGCTGCAAGGTGTGCCATACAGTACTGTACAGAAGTGGTGTGTAGACAAAGCTGGTGAAACAATGTACAGTTCAATAAGTCCAGTGCAAGTAAAAACCTTGCCAGTAAACTTAAACTATGAGAGAGCCTACATGAGGCTACATCATTCTAAATGAAGGATAGAGCAGCCTCCTTGATGTAGGTTCTGGGCAATTCCACGGTAACGGAAGGACACTCAGACAAGATTTTTGAACTTCAGGTTCATACTAAAAGAAATGTTTTATTAGTATGTATTAAACTATGGGGAACAAAATGTGTTTCAGTCAAGTGGAAAGCTTCATCAACTTCACAAAGTTTGGATAAACACTAATTAACTGGAAAAACCATGTCCATTTTTATGTCCTTCCGTTACCGAGATAATTAATATGCACATTCTTAAACTACTTAACTATAATGACAATTTTTTGGGGGAGAATTAAAGGCACTTATATAGGTATTATATCTGTACTGTTTCACATCTTATACTAATAAAACAGTTCTTTTAGTATGAACCTGAAGTTCAAAAATCTTGTCTGAGTGTCCTTCCGTTACCGTGGAATTGCCCTTCTTCCCTTTGCATTGGCTGCTGAGCCTGGTAGATGGTTCCAGCTCCTTATTATTCTTGGATAGGAGGAAAACTTAAATATCCTATCTCTCTTCCTCATCTGGCATTTTATTCAAAGGTGTAGTAATCCAAGGAAAATGTCGCCTACCGTTGCTCATTAGCACCTACATGAACATGTATTGTAGAAGTTGGCAATGATTGTCCATTTTGTATCCACTAATCTTCTCTCTGGATTAGAACTGGTTTATTGAATTTAAAATATACATTAAAAAAGCAGCGAGAGGCTGAAACAAATAGAATTTAAAAACATATACAAAGTATTACATATTATATTGAAATACAATTCATAGAAAAATTGTCAGATAAAATACAGTTATATGCATAATGATAAGAATAACATTGCACATATGAATCAACAAGGAAATGGAAAAGGGCAGGAACATAAAAAGGACACAGCAGATGAAGCTTTGAATACATGTAGAAGAAGAGGGAGAAAATACATTTTTGGATAAACTTTGAAATTTAAAATGACATAATTTCAACCAATCATGAGAGATATGATTTCTGATTGGAGAAATTATGTCGCTTATTCTGCAGCTGCATCCCTCAGTTGCTGTTCATGAACTTTGTGGAACTGGTAGATCACTAAATCTAATTGGTAATTCCTTTGTGATGTACAATGTAGGGGCAGACAACTCTTCAATATGTTGTAATACACAGAGTGACAGGAGAAGTCACATTTACTCAAAAATGTATGGCTGGGTAGAATACTTCTGTTTTTGGAGACTTACATGTATGTATTGTAACTTTGCCCTCCGGGGAAAGTTAGAAGAAAACTGGAAACAAATGGGATTTGTCTAGGTACCGTACGTGTGCCACAGTTGAATGAAATTTTCACTTATTTTCATGTTAATATTATAAAGTTCAAAATCGTTGCCTAATTTTGTTCAAGTTGTTACCAATCTGTTTGTTTGATTTTTGTGTTATTTTTGTTGGAAGGTAAGTGGACTGGACATACAATTGCACAATCAGCATTTGGCAAGCTTAAAAGGGTTTTAAAGTCAATATTTTAATGCAGAATACCTCCAAAGTTTCAGAATATTTAGATTAAAAACTATTTTAACTATTACACTGTACAAAGTGAATCAATGCAATATTTATTTCCTTATAATATTCTCATAGAGTCAGGTAAATGTAAGTTCAGGTGAATGTGATCAATTCAATATCTGCACACACAGCCTACATTTAGTATAAACTGATTGTGTTAGATTCTTCTGCATTGATGTAGGAAATGAAATACATTGTAAAAGGACCCTGTCCAGTGTCCAATGATAGATCTACTTTTCAACCTGAATGGTACAGCAGCACCTTGGCAAGATGTCAACAGGATCTGCAGTTAACATGTAAATCTCTTTTGGCAGCTGACAAAAGGGGGTCAATGATTGAATAAGAGCTTACTGAAGTCTGTATACATAAGCCCCCCCTTTAGTTGTAACAACTCATTGGCAGGTTTCTATAGAGGAGTGCGGTGATTATTGCGACTAAGCTGTCAAATGGTGGGATTGCAAGGATATATATATGTACACAGTGGCCGTATGGAAAGCAGTAAACGCACTTACACTTAAAGTTGTACTTTGAATGTCTATGTGAAACCTTCTACATATACATGTAAGGTTAACAACTACATGTAATCATTCATACCCTTTTCAAGTTTTGGATTTGTTTTATAAAATAAGTGAAAAATTGGTTTGTTTTAATTTATATTTCTTGAGAATGTGACCTATCAAAGCTTACACCTAAAGGCTATTTTACAAAGGCCCTCATTGAGTCAGTCCACCTTTCATTCTTGAGTTACGGAGGAGTTTTTTAAATTTTTAAATAATCAAATTTCCAAGGGTAATGAACGGGTGATTTGCTAACAGGTGTGAATCCTTCTATAAATGTATTTACTCATGGACAGAATCCAGTGTAACTGCTAGTGCCTTGCACCTACAGAGTCTTCCCCCCGCCCTTTTTCATCATGGTTTCTGAATTGTAATTGTAATTTACTGTGACTTCCTATTAAAAACGAGATGCTCCTTTAAATCTTATTTAAATCAATCCTCTGGTAGAAATTCTTTTGTAGTTTAAACAAAAAATTGAATACATTTTGACTTATTGGAATTTTTTGTTGTAGTCCAATTCAGTTCACCCCCCCCCCCTTCTCTTGGTAGAATAAAAAACAATCCCAGCCCCTCCCCTTAAATTAACTAACGTAACTGAGACAGGTTCACATTGAAAGTAGATTGATACATGTACCTGTACAGTGCTTGAAAAACAGTTTCATATCTCTTATCATTTATCTAATGTGATCATTTTGTTTTGAAGAATAACAAGTTATCTGTACTTCGGAAACACCTCTGAGCGATAACCTTTCATAGATCATGATTTTCCCATTTTGATCACCGCTTGTAAGCTCTAATTCGAAGTGGTGAATTAGAAAGTAATCCCAAGGAAATGTGAGCATTGCCAAACCTAATATGATGTTTTTCTTTTTCCCCCTGCTTTCCCTCTCTCCCTTCCTCCCGACTCTCCCCCTGTTTCCCTCCACTTCCCCTCTACCTTCCTCCCCTTCCCCTCTACCTTCCTCCTCCTCTCTCTCTTTTTTTTCCCCTCTCTTCTCTTTCTCTCCCTCTCTATTTTTCTCTCTTTCTCTCTCTCTTTCACTCTCACTCTCTCCCCTTCGCGCTCTCTCTCTCTCTCTCATCCTCTCTCTCTCTCTCTCTCATCCCCCCTCTCTCTCATTCTCTCTCTCTCTCTCTCTCTCTCTCTCTCTCTCATCCTCTCTCTCACTCTCCGTCTCTCCCTCCCCCTCTCTCTCACTCGCTTTTCCCCATTTCCTAGATATGGGATTTGATGATCTCATTGCTGTGTTCCAGTGACTGCCCCTTCACAGCGTCAGTAGCATGGTTGCGTGATCGATTGGATGGCTGTCAAATGTGCAAGAGAATTTACTCTTCCTGAAACATCTTCTCTCCCATGTCAGACTACAACGAGTGTAACAACATTCTGTACATGGACGCTATGAAAGTACATTCTGCTACATGCTATTTATAATATTTCTCTTGAAAGTAAACGAGAAGAAGGAAATTACTGTCTAGCTGCAAGACCCATACGCTGGTGTGAAGTCTCTCCTTCGGAATACAGCCAGGGATTGAAAATAGCCGACAGGGGGAAGTTCATAGAGTGGCAGAGGTGACAGATGGGTGGCCAGCAAATGAGAATCTGTGTTTACATTCTCTGTGACATTGTGAAGATTTTGTCTTGATTGGAAAGTAGTCAACCACATTAAACCTACAGTAGTCAACTCAAGGAGCAACACAACTTGTATGTAAATTGCCATCTTCGTTTATACATGTACATTTGCCATCTTCGTATACGTTACTGTGATTTTCCAAAGAGATTGAGATAATACATGTACATGTACATGTAGGTAGCGTTGTATCTTCGTGACTTCACCGTTTGAAGAGGACTGTTTTTATAAACGACCTTTCATATACTCGACAGATACATGTACCTAAAACGATTAACTTGTAATTGATTCATCATCTTAAATTTCTAAGTGGGAGAGAGGTGTTGATTCTCCCTTCATTAATCTCCACCCACGTCGTGCAGAGATGAGCTTGTGTGAGGTATCCCTATTAAGGGGATAAAGGTATTGGGCAAATCACCCATCACGTGTCATCAACCGACTCAGCCAGAAAGGGAGGACAGAGTGAAATTTATTTTTAGCCTCTTTTGAGAGAGTGTGTACTCCCCCATGCCAAATCAAATCGCCGGCGATAAAAGATAATCTCACCCCTAGTGACACATTGCCATTTGATGCTTACATGTACACATGCACTGGAAATCTTAATACATATATTGTAGGCCTTTCAAGATCAACCTTTCATAGATCATCCCAACTCACTTGAAGAGCAGGACATGTGTGTATGATCATATGTTTTTTATGTCAAAAGGAGGGTTTTGTTGACCCATACCAGGATCTCAGTGCGACTCGTTGGATTATTATCAAGGATTACCTAAGAACAACTGACGTCAAATGCTGATGGTGCTGATGCTGATGGAACAAGTTTTCATGAGTCAAATTACAACTCGTATTCGCCAAGTTGTTGTGCAATGATAAGAAATTAATAAACAACGGATCGAAGCTCCTCTTACAAAGTTACATGTTGATGTGCTACTTGCAAAACTACTGGTATGTGTGGAACCATTTGTGCATGACGGTCACAAAGTTCATGTTTTGAAATTTAACATTGTGCGTGACTTATTTGATCAATTGGATTGAACTTGGAATCAACCAAGATGGCTCTGAAAGGAACGAAAGCATTGCAGTCATGGTGCGTCAAGGTCACGGCTGGATACCCCAACGTCAAGGTTGAGAACATGACAAAGTCGTGGAAGGATGGACTTGCCTTCTGCGCCGTCATACACCACTTCAGACCAGAGTTAATGTAAGTGTATAATTTTAAAAAATTCTATCAAATTGATGATGTACCCACACTCGATCCTTCAGAGATATACTCAAGATCACTCTTTACATGTAATTTGGTTGCCACATAGGAAACCTAGAGTATTTACTTATTTCTCTGTAACTTTAAAACTCAACATTTGTTGTTTATTTAGCCTGGATGATTAAAATTTTTTTTTTTTTACAAGGTCTCTATTCGTTACCCAACACAGTTCCACAACATTCAGTCCTCTGACATGTTCATAACTTTAATAAATACATGTACATGTAAATATGTACATCAGCAAAGGCTATGTTTTAGTCTTGAAGTGGGGAAGACTAACCATGTATTGTAATGTCATTGTGGAATATGTACATAATTATACACATGAATTATCACTAGAATTTAAAAAAGATTACACTATGTGTGGTCGAGTCTCCCCCTTTTCAACATAACATTTCTGTTGTTTTCTTTGCTAAAAGAAGGAAGGAAAAGGGAGGGATTTTTAAGAAGTCAATGATACCCTGAACACCTGCAGATTAATCTGGCCATCATGCATTTGAAATCTAAAATTAGAGCAGGAATAATGGGGGAACTTCCTCCCTGAGGCCGTGAGTCAAGTTGAGGAAAAGCTAATGAAACATGAACATGAGGAAACTGTATTTTTTAAGGATGTTGTGTGGACGTTGATAAATATAAGCAGTCGGAGATGGGATGGGATAGTGGGGGAAGGGGGGGGGAATGAGGGGTGTAAGGAAATGGTGAAGGGGTGGGAGGGGGTCCGACGGGGCCCTGGGATGTAATGATATGGAAGGTTGCCAACTACGAATATATATTTAAGATTCTTGATGTCTTAGGAAGGACTTGCCTTCTGTACCATCATATGGTCAACATTTTGGGGGAAATGATTTGTCACAAATATTCATAAACACGTCTGCAAATTAATTTCACATGTAAATGTACATGTACATGTAATGTTTGATTGATATACTTATGTCATCTTTTTTTCTTCATTTTCATATCAACAGAGACTTCAATTCCCTTTCAAAGAAAAATATCAGAGAGAATTGCACGTTGGTAAGTACCTTTGCTCCATTATTAGTGCATGTACTGTATGTTTCCTTACATGAATCAGCAGCAATGTAAATGCAGGACTGTTGTTTTTTCTCAGTTAAATGTTCTTGACAGACATACCTTATCTTTAGGTGCTGCCCTCAAAGAAAAAGGGGTTCAAAGTATCCTGCAAGGACAAGCATTCAACAATCTTTTGGGCTGATCTATATATATCTAAAGACAGAAGCTGTTTTCTGCACCAGGGCCCTGTTACAAGAAACCTGTTATCAATAACAAATACTAAGTTTCTGTGTGAAATTTGCTCTCAGCCAATGAAAAACCATGATTTTAGTAGCTTATAACAGGTATCCTAACTTGTTTAATATTGATAACAAGTTTTTTTAAACAGGGACCGGACGCGACTGTGTCTTGTTGTTCGGTGCGCTGTTCAACTTTCACTATTTGTTATCCCCTATCATAATAGCTTGTCATTGTTTCTGGCATGATATCATGTTCTTCTTATTTTTTTCATTGTTTATCTAAGTTTTACTTTCCCTCTAAGCCTCATGACTTAGGAAGGCTTACATACCTGTTGCAAGCAATCAATTTCCTTTTTGCAGACCTTTTCTGTGAGTGGATTATCATTAGGTATACTTACAGGTGAGGTTATTCAAGGATTGCTTTCTTTATCATCAATAATAGACCTGTAACACCACAATTGCCGCAACTCCAAATATTTGCAATTCACAACAGATTCTTGCTATGGAAATTGCCCTCCAATGTGTGATAGTTTCATGCCACAAAAGCTGCTGGTTTTACAATTTATTGTACATACCGGTACTGTGCTTGCTCAACCACACAGCATTTCATGGCCAAACATAGAATACATTGTACATACTGTACACATGGAAAGAATATATCCAAGATCCTCATTCATTGCTTTCAAACTTAGGAAGACGTCTTGTCATATTAATATGTCTACAGAATACATGGACATTGTAGATGTATTAGAGAAGGAATGCTCCTGCCCCTTGAAATGCTTTTGTACATTTCAAATGTTACTAGAAGTACAATCTTGTACGTACATGTCAAATGATTGTAGTCACACAGTTTAAAGTTCATGTCTGTCTTCAGTCCTGTGAAGTGATGGTGATACAGTGTGTATGGAGCAAGAGTTCCTACTTGTAATTTTTATCATTTTAATGGTTCCAAAACTTTTAGTTCCGCTCTTCTGTGGTAGTGACTAATCAGCAGGTCAGAATATCTTCTAGACAGTTTCTTTCAAAACACAATTGCTCCACTCTCATTTTGTATACAGAGACAGAGTGACCTTTCAGGCTTTTAGGCTTTAGGCTACTTTGACATTGGCTGCGCATTAATTCCCAGATCCAATTATAATGATTCCTTCCTCACTTTAGACAGTTGATCGCTCTCTTGTCAAAATCCTACACCCACCTCTTACGTCCAAGTGACCCTAAACGGGACGAGATATCACGCCGAATTACGGCCATCGACGTAGAGGCCTGATTCGGTCTTCCGGTCTTGCTGCGGTGCCTGCGATGCTTTTAATGAATGTTTCCTTTCTTGCCACGTGCCTCAAGGATCCTGTCTAAATAGCTCAAAAACGGTGCCAATGGTTCTATTTAAACCTACATGTACATGCAGTACTACTACTGGGTTTGCATGTTTACTAGGTTCTGTCTACACCAACTCCTGGTAACATTTGCCGACTAGGGCAAGTACATGTCCCTTCATTAAAAGTTCTTGAGCCAATTTGCTTGAGTATTTACCTGAATAATGTAATTATTTTCAGAACGTATGCTTTATATGTACCGGTATGCTAAATTGCCTACGTAGTGTAGTTATCCAAGTTTCATGTAAGGGACTAATGACCCCCGCCCCACCCCTCACCCCCAACCGCACTGAAAAAACAGAATCTAGCTTTCACTTGCATGATGTGTTTGTAAATGTTGCACATGAAATAATTAAATCAGAATCGGCTTAGACATTAAATATTTGCAACGTGTTAAAGTTTCTTGCATTAAAAAAAGAACCGTCCTTGACAATTTTGTCATTTCACAATTTGTTTCATGTCACAACAGTATATATTTATGCCCTATTCGAGAAACAAAACCTTGAATGAAAAATAAACTTGAAATTATTCAGTACAGACCAAAATAGATTCAGAAACTTCATAATTTTCTCACTTAAAGGTAAAGACCAGTATCGGAAACGCCCCAATTTCAAAAAATGAAATGGAAGCTCTCATTACCAATCATGTGAAAGAATATGTTTTGACTAATACATAATGATAAAAAATTTGCCGGCAAACCGCCTACTAATTCATATATTTGGTAAATTTGTTTCTCTCATGGTCTGTGAGAGATATAGGTTAGTCCCATATACATCTTTCTGTGTATAGTGCTTGTAACTTTACGAAGAATGGGCCAAATTTCTTATCATTTTGATGATTCCAGAACCTTGCAGATGCTAGATGCTAGATGATCAACCTTTTCTGATCGATTCCACAACGTTTCTTTCACAATGCAATCGCATGACCATGACTGGTCTTTACCTTTAAGGTTTCTTGATCCAATCACTTACTATTAATTTTTAATTGAAGTTTAAAGCAATCAGGGTTTAAAAAATCTTTATAGTACTCTTTAGATGTTGACGCATGGGTGGATTTTCCAGGAATTTCAATACCTATGCACTTTATATATGTTTAAAGAAATCAACATTATCCATAGACTAGCGATGTGCTCATGTAACATGCATGTTGTGAGGCAGGCGCAATGAATGTTGAGCCTGCAGACGATTGGAGGGGCTGTCCAGGATATGACAAATCCCAGTCACTTTTGAGGTTTGAACTTTGGTTTCTTTATGTCTCCTACAGTATCTAGTTTGTTCAGTAGCTGATTTCCTGATCCAGGCAACATGTTTTGTAATTCAATACTCAAGGGTGGGCAGTGGACTGTAGAGATTTCTACTAGCTTATCTTTGGAAAATACCTTTTATTGAAAAGAAAAATGTGCAGTATCATTTCCCCCATGTCATTGGAAGGTGTGGGGGGGGGGGGGGGTATGAGGTACATTTACATGTACATAAATATAGCATTGAGATTGAGAAAGAGAAATTTGACCTACCGGTACATGTATTACAGCTATTAACCCACATGAACCAGATTCAAGATTCATTTATTTCTTTCCACTGACATGAGAACAATACATTCATGAACAGTAACAACAAGTTCATCGTCAACAAGAATAAATTCATGGACAATAACAAGACAGTTAAGAAGACATTGAAAATGTAGAAAATAGGTGGTCCGTAAAAAAGTACAGCTTGTTTAACACAGATCACCTTTACAAGAACAACAACAAAAATATTTAAAAAGAAGTAGATTAATAATAAAATAAAATAGAAATAGATGTACATTATGATGAAGCAGGTGGACAAACATACTGTGAAGCAAAGAAAGATCAGTTTTAAAAAAGTTTCTGATTCATTGAGGCTTCTTCCAAGTTACAGAACCCTATGGTCATGAATTATTTCCTGGTGTAATATTGAAGATATATATACTACAGAATGTGAACTGCCTGTATGAATAATAACATTTTACTACAGTATCCTTTTACAATAAGCAGCCAAGCAGGCTATTTTTAGATGTTGTTACCTTGGCTACAGTGAACAATATAATTGTCACTTCAGTAAGACCCAGTCCTATTGCTCTTAGCTTTTTTTTTTTTTTTTAATGAAAAGATACATTTTTTTTCTTGGGGGGGGGGGGGGGTTGACAACATCTAACCAAAGCATATCAACACGAAAGCGGCTAATAAGTAAAAATAAAAGAACTTTGTAATTCCATATTCAATGTTATATGAATTTCTTTTAATACTTTTAAGTCATCTTGTTTGATTTATACATGCATAACTTCATTTACTGTACTATCGCATTTTAGTACTCTTGAGTACTCTTTAGTACATGTATAATGCAATGCAATCCCAGTTACTTTCAAACCAGGAACCTTAATTATCAAGTTCCACTTGATATTATTAGTGTGCTTTCATTACAGCATACAATGTATGGAGAAGATGCAGTATCAGGACAATCCACTTGTCTTACCAAACACTACATGAAGACCTATGGTTTCTGTTCTGTATTTAGTATGAGAGATTTCCTCATTCTTTAAGTGCACACCTTATTAGTGCATACCATATCACTTTCATTACACACTTTACTTGCACATTTTACATATACCTGGAAAAGTATGGTAATGTAATCCCTTTGAATCAAATTACAAGCTGCTGTGGTTTGGTCTTTGTGTAGATTACTTGTCACCATATAAAACAGAGCCAACTCAAATCAAAATTGTATTGATTTATTTTGTGGTTAGATAATTTGTTAACATCATGTAGAGCCATATGGGGACCACATTGTGACCACATTGAGGATAATAAACATGTAATAGGGAAATAATAATATCAATAAAATGGTGAGGTCAAACTAAACTGCCATACTAAAATCTGCTGATAAATTAGTACCGGTATTACAAATCTCTTTGGAATGGGCCTGATTGTTTATCCAAGTTCAAAGTTGTTATTAGCCAAGCAGCCTTATTAGGTTTTACATGTATATTGAAACTAATAGTTCAATTTAGAAGTGCTGTATATACAGTATATGTACAATGTACATGTAATTGTATAGCCCTCAGAAATTATTTATCCCTGCTTGCAACGAAGGATAATAGATTGATATTAATTAATAAATAATTCCTTCACCCTCTCTGTTCTTCTTGTGAAAAAGACATTTCTTTTATATTGTTACAGTGTGCTACATATAATTGTACATTAATACATTGTTCATTAGCTATCCAGTCTGGATCCTGCACAACAGACATTCATCTTTTAGTTTTATGGCTTGAGCTGATCATAAAAAACGCTAATTAATGAGGAGCTACATGTACATTGTACATTATATAGCTGTGATATGGACAGCTGCTATAAATATACTAAGTGTTTGTTAAGTACTTTGTTTCATTGGTGCCATATGCTCGAGAAGAAGCAGCAGTTCATGCCCAAGTCCAATAAAGCACTTAATTCGGCAATTAAACCGAGTATGAAGATTAACATGGGGAGATCCCGGATCCTCTTCCAAGAAGGAAGAAATCTGGAGAAAACCCTTAAAAGCAAAATGATCTTTTGATGTGCTAATTTTGGGTCAAAAAATTTGTGAGAGATTCTGGGGGCACACAACATACATGTATTGCTAATATTTTATGTATTTGAAGTATTCTACATGTAATGTACATTTGTTTTTTGTGGGGGATGTGCTCGCCTCCCAAACAACTGGTGGTACAGAATTGCAGGCTACATTTGGTGCATACTTGTATAATTTACATAAGGCCATGTAAAAAAATATACATGTTTAGCGTCCCGCCCGCTTCCTTTTTGGGGGCTGCCTCCTTTTTTCTTTTTTCTTTTTTTGGAATTTTTTTGGAATTTTTTTTTTTTTTTTTTTTTTTAAAGGAAAAAACATGAAATACACTGCTAAAATGGATCTATTTCTGATTTAAAAAAAAAAAAAAAAAAAAAAAAGTGTCGGCGGCCATCTTGAAAAATAGCCTGACTGACAGGGAAAATGTGCAGAGCGGCCATTTTGAGCGGCCATTTTGAAAGAAAAAAAAAGGGCCTCCTCCTTCCTATTTTTCCAAAAAACAGGACGCTAAACATGTTTTTTTTTTTATTTGGCCTAATGACTACAAGTTTGCTGTAAACACTCCTTGTAAGATTTGGGGAAAAAAAGTAGTGGTACATGTATATTGTGAAAGCGATGTACAGGTATCGTGCTGTGCTCTTTATTTGACATTATTTGTAATACATTCATGTATGTGCCGCCTCCTGATTTTCCCTTGACCTTTTATTAAATATCAATTTCATACAGTTTCATTTCAGACAAGTAGAACAACTCAAGACTAATACTGCATTGTATACCATGGAGTATACAAGGGAAGTGAATACAGTTCATAGAGCTTAGCATTGCATATCATCCACATTAGCTTCCATTGACCCATTTTATTTATCAAGTCTATTGTCTACAACATGACCTTGAAAATGATATGTGTTCCCTGTCGTGCAATTTGAGTAGAAATAGATGTTGATGGTGCATGTACATTTATTGCCCACTCTACTAGGGACAAATCATATCCATGGACGAATGATAATTGATGGATTAGTACTAAAATGTAGATAATTGCAAGCTTACAAGTACATGTAGAGTGTAGCTTATAAATTGCTCTTCTAATTTCTATAGATGTGATTTTCCAAGTGCATAGCATTGTTTTGAACTCGTAGCTTTAAGGAAAAGAAGAAAAAGAAAAAAACATTGGCCATTTGAAGATACTCACAAACTCATCTACATACATGTGCATGTACAGGTAGAAGTTGTATCTCAGATACAATTTTTCTTCTTCAAGATTTCAGATTTGGATAAAATTTCAGATTCAATTTCTGTTCAGGTCAGACTACATGTACAGACTTTTAGATATTTTTGTTTGTTCATCTTTAAGGGTCTATATCTATACAACTTTAATATAAGGGGATACAGGGTGTGTCTTGAACTCTTGATCTATCTTGAAATAGTATAACGATCTTCATGTAGCATGTTCAGTAGGTTTTTATAGCCTCTATTCTCTCTGTGTTTTGAGTGCTATATATCACAGGGGTGACAAGTCAAAGGTCATGTTCAGGGTCATAGTAGTCATCATCCCCTGCAAAGGCTTGACCTTAGAGTTGGAGGAACGCCCTACATACAGTACCTACAACATACAAGGCTACAAGTAAACTCTCCAATGTTCCAAAGAGATACTACTCTTTGAATGTTCATAGCACAAATTCCTTGTAAACCAGTCATAACGTAAACATTGCAGTTATGATGAAGATGATATGGTATGTTCAGAGCCAGAAGGGCGTTTACTCTGTGATAAAGTACATGAGTTAATGCCCTTCTGGCTCCAAACAGACAATATCTTCTGGTTGTACATGCACATGTACTTGTACTTTGCCCCCTTCTGTGCTACTTTGTATGACAGACAGATAGATACATGTAGATAGATTGATCAATTAATATTAATGAACACTCTAGAGTCAATTTAAAGTCTTCGTTACTTAGAAATGAAGTTCTTTGTTTCAAAGTTCAGTCTGTCATTAATCTTTTTAAACAATCTACTTAATGCATAACAGTGCATTTACATGTACTTTTATCCCTACAAGGGGAAATTATATGTTTGTTAATGGTCAGTTTAATAGTCTTAATATTGAAAGCATACAAAGCATACAGCAAATGGTCAAACTTCTCTCATATTGATAAACTTGAAACAAAGCTGTTTTTAAGATTCTCTGTACAATAGGTATAATGAACAGTACATACTGTACATGTATGTAAGGGCGTCTTGACTGTTTTCGGTTTCATTAGGTTGTCAGTCACCAAACAAAGCCGGTACTTTGACATGTTTCACTCTTCATCATCATCTGATGTTCAATTCAATTCACTTTTATTTCTCCAAAGCAATTAAAAAAATATAACATACATTCATAGAACTGTACATTGTTACATCAACGAATATAATACATCTAATAAAAGGAAGTGCCCTTTATAAGTGGCCAACCTAAAAAAATGTTACAAGTTTAATTTTGCTTCTATTCGTTATTTCTAAAGTCAATACTAACTAAAATTTAAACTAGAACTTTAAACTGGTAAGTGAAATTGAAAGTGAAGTACCGGTACAGTGTACATGTATGTATTACACTCGATTTCAAGTGTGTACATACAATGTACATGTACTTACACTGTAGTTTGCAATAGTAGTTTGCAACATCTTGTACCCTTTTGCCTCAAATTACAAACCCGCTATTTTTAATAAATGTGATTTATAGTAGCAAAATTCATCATAGTGCTTTGCACGGATCAACAACAAAAAGATTTGATTGACATCTGAAAAGGAAGTATTGTCGTTGAAGGATCACTCTCAGTACCATGCCTTTCTTTGTGTGGCCTTTAATGAACTCCTAAGAATTTCATACACCATACAAACAAGACCTTGTGTATAGCCTTTCTTCCATGCTCACCTGAAATTGAAGGTATTCAACCATTTTCAAAATGTATTCAAAGTTATATGCAGTAGACCTGTTTTTAATACCTAGCAACGATCTATTCAATTCACATGTTATTGTACATGTATCTCACTAGTCAGAATGCAAATTGCATACATTAGTTTTTGGCTGTTGCTGAATCAGACAAACATTACATTTGTACATGACTTGCCCTACTTCACATGATAATGTTAATTGCTTTCTGACTACAGGTATAGCAAAAAGGTGAATGAATTAGTTCATAAGGAGGCACCTTAGAAAGATGTGTGCATTACATTTGATTACAGTGTACATTGCCAAAAAATGGCTCATTTATTAGCTGTTTTGATGATTGAAAATATATTTAATTATTCTCCTTTGTCTATGAGAAGAGAGTTGAGATCAAAAATCAATTTACAGTGCACTGATTTGATTGTGGGTTAAAAATTCTTTCTCCATTGAAGCCAGACTACGGTAATATGAATTCCAAGAAGGGGTGAATCTCCCACAAACTTAATGTACTGTAATAAATACTGATTAACCGAACAAAGTTTGAAACTGTAAATGGAACACTAATCATACATGAAAATTAAAAAAATATTCTACCTTGAACCTTAAGTCTTAGAGATAAGGCTTTAACAGAATTTCTTAATCAGTGTATTGCTGTCATGGATGACGCAGACATGTTTATATTGGTGCGACGCCTCAAGGATAAATACAGAAGTGTGGCAAATATTACATGCTCAAGTTGATTATGTTTACTTGTCATGTAGGCCTCTATCAGGGATAATGAAATGGTAACACAGTTAGTTTATAAAAACTTAAACTTGAACCATTGAAACACATACATGTAAAGCTTTGCTACTTTTCTTATACCCTGCTCGGCACTAACATGTCCCATGTATGTATGGGTGCTCGAAATCAAGTCTGGACCCCCAAATTTCCAAATCCTTACATACACCCCTGTAGGGCTTATACATGTACGTACAGACACTAAAAAGTTAAACCCAGTCCCCCTTCCAGAAGAGTTAGTGTTGAGCCCTGTGACTTTGATATTTACTTCTACAAGTAGTTTGAATAGTCTCCAATTGATTTTCATTGCTGTTGATTTTGAAAGTTCTATGACAATTACCCCATGGTACAAATACCCACCTTTAGCTCATCATATCTTCGTAACTATGAAATTCCTGTCTGTCTTCCTTTCCTCCGAGGATGATTTGTACATATGTACATAATTTCATACAACATCATCACACATTTCAATCTCGATAACAAAATATCTTGAGCAATGCCTAAAGAATGATTTTTGTGTCCCCCATTCTCTTTCTCCTAGCAAGCAGCAAAGCTTGACGTGTCTTTTATGTTGTTGACCGACCTTTGAGGTAGCAGAGCAGTATATTGGTAGACTTGCTTTACATCATCCTGAAGACATGGTCTCAAAGGCATCACCTGATAAACTAAGCATCCTGACTTATCTTTGTGTACATGTGTCCCAGTATTACAACGTCTTTTGTTTCTTGTCGACAGGCCTTTGAGGTAGCGGAGTGGTAACTTGGCATACCAGTCTTACTTGATCCTGAAGACATGGTGTCGATGGCAACACCTAATAAACAAAGTATCCTCAATGTAGTCACCAATACATATGTCACAGTATTACAATTTGTTTCTTTCTTTTTGACAGGCCTTTGAGGTAGCGGAGCGGGAGCTTGGTATACCAGCCTTATTTGATCCTGAAGACATGGTGTCGATGGCATCACCTAACAAACAAAGTATCTTCTATGTAGTCACCAATACATACATGTATGTCACAGTATTACAATTTTTGTTCTTTCTTCTTGACAGGCCTTTGAGGTAGCGGAGCGGGAGCTTGGTATACCAGCCTTACTTGATCCTGAAGACATGGTGTCCATGGCATCACCAGATAAACTGAGCATCCTCACCTATCTATCACAGTACTACAACTTCTTCAAGAACAAGGAATCTGGTAAGCACTTGATTATAATAGGGCCACAAAATGCCCAAGTTGTTGCATTTTTTTCTTATCATTAATTGCATTTTGCAGATTTGTCTCAGTTACCGATGAGTAGTGACATCTGGGTATACCAACCATAGACCTACCATGTATCTGACAAGGCTCCAAGTCTGGGTTTTGATTTGGAAACCTCTGGTTATAGGAACAAAGTATCAGACCTTTGGGGTGTTTCACAAAAACTAAGTTGGACTTTAATTTGGACTTAACTATGGCAGGCCATTCATGCCACTGTTTGCTCTCACCATTTGCTCTCACTATTTACTGGCATTGGTCTCTCAAGGGACGTACAAATCATGGTCACAAATCTATAGAATTTATATTTTTTGATAATTCATTATTGAAGGAAAATATATTATCTAAAGAACATAATGGTGAGAGCAAACAGTGGCATGAACGGCCTGCCATAGTTAAGTCCAACTTAAGTCGATCTTAAAGGTAAAGACCAGTTATGGTCATGCGATTGCATTGTGAAAGAAACGTTGTGGAATCGATCAGAAAAGGTTGATCATCTAGCATCTAGCATCTGCAAGGTTCTGGAATCATCAAAATGATAAGAAATTTGGCCCTTTCTTTGTAAAGTTACAAGCACTATACACAGAAAGATGTATATGGGACTACCCTATATCTCTCACAGACCATGAGAGAAACAAATTTACCAAATATATGAATTAGTAGGTGGTTTCCCGGCAAAATTTTTATCATGTATAAGTCAAAACATATTCTTTCACATGATTGGTAATGAGAGCTTCCATTTCATTTTTTGAAATTAGGGTGTTTCCAATACTGGTCTTTACCTTTAATCTTTGTGAAACAATGCCCTGGTTAAGTACCTTCTCAAAGTCTGAACTTTAAGTTAGCCATGATTTCGCGTTACAGTATACAAATGTATATAACATTTTCACAGTGATCAATTACAGAATATGGTGCCCTCGTTTGGTGGGCTATTTATGTATTTATTTACCGTAAGTAAACAGAGAATGTAACAATGAAAAGCCTTGCTTCAAGGATAATTGCAGTAGATTTGTTGATTGCACGTACTGTCCAGTACAATTTGAGCAGAACTGAGCATAGACTAGAACAGCATTACAGTATTGTTTTCTATCACAAATGGCATGTGGGCTTTCAGCAGGTGATGGGGTTACCTTTCATGATCACAATACATTTCCCATGGAATGCATATGAACAGGCACACCTTTATTTTACACTGAAAGATTTATGGTGGTATGGTAAAAGATATGAAACTGCAAGTAAAGTACTTGTAGCCTATATGTTTATCAGCAATACATATATACCTGTATGTTTAATATATATCACATAATACAAGCAGTAAGGAAACGCTACTGAAGAATTCATAGACATCAGTATTTCCATTTTTCCAGATAACAGATTTGTTGCTTCTTTGCCTACTACATGTATCTTGATCAATGTGCTGAACTTGACAAAAAATATCATATCAGGACTACATGTCCCTAGTTTATTTAAACGGGGGCCCTATGATTTAGTTTAAAATGGAGGGTCTTCTTGACAACCTTTTAGAGTTGGAATTTTCTACATCACTTGCTAGATGTTTACTTTTCACTTAGTGCTTTGCTGCCCTCTCTTGGCTGATTTTGGTTATGATATCAGCACTCATTCAAGATATTGTTGCTGTATTTTTTCCAAGCCTTACAGTGCATTTTATGCATCAACTATGTGCTTGAATACATCAAAGGCATTACAATTCTTCAATGAAATGCAACATTCTACAGTACTGACAGATTACAGAACAATCTAGCAATTATAAATTCATAACATCTTATGAATCACCTCCAGACCGAATCCCTAATGGACATATCACTGTCATTCACGTCAATCCCTCTTCCTTGTTTCAATCACGTTAGACCAATCTGCACTGACCTGATTGCCCCGGGGCATTGGAGTCTCTCCCCTTAATTGATTTGTTGAAAGATCTCCAAAAATTGATTAAACACAAAATCTTGTAATACCTTGATGTGTGATCAATACTAAATGACTTGCATTGCCCCCAGTGTATTTATGGCCTGGAGATTGTCCCAATTCATTTCTCTTGTTTCAACTGATGTATTAATTCAAGTTTCCTATCCTTCAAAGTTCAGTAATACTGTGGGAAATCATTCCTTTAAAAATAAAACTGTTTGATGATTGGATATGAATTATGAAAAATGTCAGGAATCTAGCAATTTTCTTACCCTTTTTTCGTACTGGGTACATGGCAGATTTCCAATAACGTGCTGTAGTCAAAGAACAGCTGCGAATATTTATATGAACTTCTTATTTATAGTATGCTTCTTTAAGAGGTGGCTTCGGTGTATTTATTTCTGTGGTGGATGAAAACCTACTTTACAGTTTCTTAAATTTTGGAGGAGGTTTGTCCAAATATGAATCTGATTGTGGATTGCATGAAGTTCTTTTATGTCATGTTAAAGCTCCACTGTAATACTTGTAGCTACTTGCTCCCTCTATATAGCAAACAATGCCTAATCAGTGACCGTTGGTCCCCCATGATCCTCTTTTTCTTATGTTAACTGAGAGCTGATTTGATGAGATAACCACCTGTCCAGTGACCTTACAGGGTGGTCTAATCCCTCCTGTAAACTAATACAGATGGGCTTTAAAGTGTATGGCTCTTTCATGGTTATGAAACCTTTAATGATAGCATCAGTTTTTTCAGAGTACTGAGATGCAGATCTGGAAACTGATGTTTATCACATTTGAATCGGTGTTACCTGTAAAATAGGTAGCGAGTGATGGAAGACTTTCTCAAGGGTGTTACCTGTAGGAAATGAGTAATATTCACTCCCTGGCCTCCTATCCGTAGACCAAACAACGGATCCTGGACTGATTCATAGGGGCTTCCACCATACCCCAGTAGAGAGGAAGAAACTGACCTGGGCCTTTCCTTATGGGCGGCTAAGAGGGCCAGAATAAATAACGGAAAACAAACAAAAAATGACAGAAATAAACAAAGATTCAGAAATAGACATGAAGATAATGCAAAAATAAAGACAACATCACAATTTAAGCCTCACCACAAAAATAAAACAACTATCGAAATAAATATAACTCAGGAATAAAGACAACCACAGAATTAAAGATGAATGCGGAAATAAAGACTAACCACAGAAATAAATACAACCACAGAAATAAATATAACTCAGGAATAAAGACAACCACAGAATTAAAGATAAATGCAGAAATAAAGACAAAACCACAGAAATAAAGACAACCACAGAAATAAAGACAACCACAGAAATAAAGACAACCACAGAAATAAAGACAACCACAGAAATAAAGACAACCATGCAGAAATAAAGACAACCACAGAAATAAAGACAACCACAGAAATAAAGACAACCACAGAAATAAAGACAACCACGGAAATAAAGACAACCATGCAGAAATAAAGACAACCACAGAAATAAAGACAACCACAGAAATAAAGACAACCACAGAAATAAAGACAACCACAGAAATAAAGACAATCACAGAAATAAAGACAACCACAGAAATAAAGACAACTGCAGAAATAAAGATGACCACGGATTTGAAGAAAGCTTCGGAGACAAAGACAACCACAGAACGGAAGTTTAGAAAGGTAGGCCTATATAACGACTGAAATTAAGTCTACTATAAAAACGTTATGCCCGCTCCGAAAATTAAACTATCAAGTAGAAATATACGATCAAAAACGCAAACAAACTGACAATAAGAGGACAAGAGAGGGTGTCCTAACGCAAAAATTAACGGAGCGGGCGCACATGCACACGGCTAGCTAGCTGTACACAGACTATGCCTCTAATCTATCCATGTAGCGCTATGAAGTCGGATGGATATTCGACATTCATATGCTAGCCCCACATGTCTCGTACGGTCAGCCTGCAACCCAAAATACTTCGCTTGCCCTGGCCCATGGGGATTAAGGGTGTGCAATTCAATACTATTTACGGGCAAGGAATTCCCCAAAACATGAAATATACTCCACGAGTATAGAGAAATGGCGGATACAGGGGGTGGGGGGGGGTGGTATGGGGGCCCGCCACCCCCTGTTTTTTGAGAAAAAAGGTTTTCCTTTCCCACTTCTATAACAGAGAAACAACATTTTAAGATAAGTCTAATGTTAACGTTAATTTTTGTTTTTGAAATGTAGAGTACAGCCCTTGGCCTTAGGCCTATTTTAGGTCATAACTGTTACTGTTTGAAAATCGAAAGTAAAATTAGACGGTTTTCACGGTTAGACCAATTAATTTATTGCGAAAAACATGTTTACCAGTCACTCAAACCAGGTAAAGCAATCATCTAGATCCATTATTAAGGACTAACGTTAGTATATAATAGGTAGATGCAGGCGCGAGCGGGCCTTGCCCCCCCCCCACGCAAAAAAAGGATAGAGAGAGTGAGGGAGAGAGAGAGAGAGAAGGAAAAGAAGGGAAAGGGAAAGAGGAGAGAGAGTGAAAGAAAGAAGAGGAAGAAGAAAAGAAAAGGGGGAAGAAGGAGATGGGGGGGCGAAAGGGCTTTGCCTCCCTCTAATAAAAAAAATAAGAGAGAAGGAAGGAAATGGAAAGAAAAAGGAAAAGAGGAGATAAAGGGAAGGAAAATTGAGGAAGCAGAAGAAAAGAAGGGGGATATCAGTTGCAATTTTCCCGCCAATAAGTTGCTGATCGAGATGGGGGTGGTGCAAAAGGCCCTTGCCTCCCCCGCCCCCGTTAAAAAAAAAAGAGAGAGAAGGAAGGAAAAAGAGAGCTAAAAGGGACCAAAAAAGAGGAAGAAGAAAAAAAAGGGTGAAAAGAAGGGGAGATAGATCAGTTGTGATTAATCCCGCCAGCAACGTGTGGAGAAGGGTAGGGGCCGAAAGGACCTTGCCTCCCCCCCCCCCCCCCAAGCGAACCACAAAGAGGGAGAAGGAAGGGAGGGGAAAGGGAAAGAGGGGAGAAAGG